ATTTAGAGAATGTTAAACGATGTTACGTTGAAAAAAAATAAAGAAGAACAAGAAGAAATGTTAATGTTAAAGAAGGAAAACTTGCTTTGAGAAAAATGTCGACTATTATGTTTTTATTTATTTATTTCACCTATCTTATACACCTATTTATTATTATTTCCTGCTCAAGAAATTGCCTATAGTGAAAGTCATCAACAAATAAAAAAAAACAAAAGTTATCAAAACTAAGGACAAAGCAACTAACTAAGCAGAATATTTTGAAAGAAAAGGAAGCTTTTTTACTATTTCAATTCATCTCCTGTCAATTTTTACTTTTTTTTACTTTCTAGCTGTCAACTTACGAGGAATTAGAAGTGGTTCTATAATTTTCGGGATCCTTTTTGATTTTTTGTTTCTAAGATTAGCTGATCTGTAGGTTTGTCTCCCCCCCCCCCCTCCTCCCAACCCAAATTTACTGTTAGAAAAACTCTGTCATAAACCAGATAATTGCAAAGCTGATAATCTGGTCAGATGCCACAATAACCCTGAATATGATGCTATTAACATAGGTGAAAAAATCCATGTATTAGCGATGATGCATACCTATTGTCCTAGTTCTGAAAGTCACATATCGAACTATTTTGAAGATTAGATGTTAGAAATCAGTACGATCATTGTTGAAATTGTGGAGCAGATAATAGTGCAAATTCATTTATTATCGTAGTTCGAGGAAAAAAAGTGATTTGGGAAGTTACAACGTCAAATTGATGGCTCAGACTAATTGTTCAATTTTGGGTCCTTTAGCTCGTAGAGGGAGATGATTTGTGGTTGGTCAGATTTGCTTGAAAAATTCCTAAAGAAATAAAGTTTCAATGGCTTGGCAAATCATTCCTAGCGATCCGCGAAGAAGTGGCGAGGGGAGGGGGGGGGGACAATTAGGATTTCTCCACATCGAAAAAAATCTGAGCTTTAGAGAAATTTAGCTTATTGAAAGACTAAAAAACGTTTGAAATATAAAAAAAAACAAAAAAACGTTTTCTTTGTCACCTCAATAACAGAATTCTACCAAGCACGCCACTTCTTCTGTTATTCCTACTATATTATTATTAGAATCATATCATTATTCTACTATTAAAACAATATTCATAAATTACATACTTTTATAATAATGTTATTATCCCGTGGTCATGTTTGCAATTTTTGAAAGGATTAATATGCTTGAATTGATTTAACAATCCATTTTTTCCTAGTAAAATTTCCTATCAAGTTGAAACTGATGACTGTTGGTATAAGAAATACAAATAGGATTTGTTTTTCAATCAAAAGTATCAAAATAGGAATCATGCCACCAAAAACCACATTTCATCTGCGCGCCATTTCAGCGCCTATCAAAGTTTTTATGAAAGGGTTAGAATAACTTGTAGTGCTGAAGCGTGAAACTCGTTCAATCAGCTTGATTTCTTCCATGTGCCATAAGAAATGCCGAAATTCATTACTTATGTTGTACTGCGATTGTATTGTACGTAATTTAGCATCTGGTTGGGATGACAAGCTGTTTGCATTCAACTATGAATCACAGCTGAAGCGTGTAATTCAGCTGTACAACATCTTTTTGTTCTCTTTTCCACCTCGTATTTCCTCCCTCTAGCCTTTTGTTTTCTTCAGGCAAATGTACGAATGCTTAGCTTCATTCCTGGCCAGGCTCGCGCCGAAGTCAGGAATGAAGCAGGCTGAATTAAAAAAGCAAACAGAGACCATGGAAGAGTTGTGGCTCGCGCACGGAATGAGCATAAGCAGAGCTGAGTCAGCCCAAGCCAGCAGCCATTAGCTTTGTTTGATCATTGCTTCGACTCCCCCCCCCCCTCCCGCGCTTCGCTCCACACAGTTGCTATTGTAACAAGCTTGGCGCTTTTGCATGAGACTGTGCGGGCGCAGGAGGAATGACCCTCGAGCGAGGGGGTGCAAATCAGCTGTTTCGGACATAAAGCATCGCGAAATGGGGCGTTTTGGGGTTTTCTTAAAAGTTATTACAACTAAAATTAGCTTTAACAAAGATTTTAGGGGGTGATTAGGCATATGCTCACTTTTCAAAGGAGTTGATTTTATCTGTTGGTCTAGATTTATGCACTTTCTTGAGGGAGATTACCCCTAACCACCCCTAAACCTCAGAGGGTACTTTTGTTACGCTTGTGGATAAGTCGAGGTAAAGCAGGAAAAATTTCGATCAATCACATAAGATCGAAACAATTTGCATATTTCGATTTCGCGGGTTAAGCGTTAATACTTTTGCGAACGTATAACAAAGTACTAGAACTAGGCAAACTGTACTACGACTTAGGTAACATAGTGCTGACAAGTCTTGCGATCACATTTTGTAAAGGGACCAGTTTTCGTCGTGAGAGAATGATAAGCCCTGCAAGAAGTTGAGTGGGTGTACGTCATGAAAATGGTAGCGTTTGCGCTCCCTGTCAAATAATTTTTATAAATATAGAAGTTGAAAACAGATATTGAATATGGACAGAAATGAAACTTATATCCATCAGTTTGATCTCCACAATCTCTCATAGATTTGAAATTTTGACAAAAAAAAATAAATGCAACCCTAATTTTATCATTACAAATGAGGGCATACACATTGATAAAATTCTAATCAATAAGTAATTTAATGATGAATTTTTTGAACTTAATTTATAAAAACGTTACCTGTACCAAAAAATGTCAATGGACCACTGAAGTATTTTGGCAATCTCTCGCAATCTGAATTTTCTCCAATTTTGTTAGAATTAAGTTTCCTCATTCTTTCCGATGTATACTTCCTCGGGTTACACGCAGAAAGAGAACTATAGCATAAAAATAAATGGTACAGATTTCCATTCCGTTTCGATCCTAATTACTAGACAATCAGAAAAATTACGGCCTTTCCAGGGAGGGTAGTTCAAGTTTTCTGGCAAATTCTACGAATTGACAGTTTTCAAATTTTGCAGTCAGCCTGAACTAGATAATCTGCACTTACTCTACACTTTCTTGCTTATAAAACTTTTGCTCACTAGGTGGATGTTTACCCTGTCGCAGTTTCAAATGTGTACTACTTTGCGTAAAAAAATTTTGTTTGATTTCTCTTCTAGTTTCTATTTTTATTTCTCAAACCTGACTCTTCTCCATACAGTCAACACCCAGCAAAGCTTAAAGCTTCTCAATGTCGGTTCTTTGGAGCTTCTGCCGGTTTCAGAGGGAAAGTGCCGTCGGTGCACCAAAAAGAGCTCTTCGTACAAAAAGAAACGGTCGCTTCATTGCAAGTTTTTCTCACTGGGAGGGAAAGAGAGGAGACTCGTACCCGAGCCGACTACTGGAATGGGGAAAGAGCTGGAAATTTGAAGAAAGTGGGAAAAGTGTTTTTTTGGACGAGTTCTCGCGCTCCTTTTGGTCTCAGGCATCACCAGCTCCGCATAGGATATGATTCTATATGATTCTCACCGCGTTGCTGAATACAATAGTGCTCAGCCTCCAGATCCGTAATGATTGTTGTTTGTCCGTAATTTTGCGACAATGAGCAGCTATTGTGTGTGATAGATACGTCCGAGTTGAATCAGCAGCAGCCGATGTTTGTTGGCTGGCTTTTACTGTCCGAACGTTACGATCAAACATCTCTGACTAATGGCAATAATGAGCGCCCGGCTATGAAAATCGCCCGCTATCAGGGCAGCTGCTTATGCAGGAGAGTGGAAATGGTAATAAAATATTATATTGCTGCTTTTTTATGGTCTAGTCTAGGAAAGAGCTGATAACGAGGTGTTGATGTCGGCTAAAAAAATTTCAAATTTGTTCAGTGGTGGGAAAGCTTCTGATAAGAACTTTATACTAGGGGAATTACAAAACCAAACCTACTAGTAATTTTTTTCTTCAAATTCGAAAAATTGAGCAATATATGAGATGAAGTCTATGTTATAAAAAGAGACTTTTATTGCATCCTCAACTGCCTTAAAGCAAAAAAAAACGTGCTCCCCCCGCTGACTGGGTTGCGAAATTTTGGAAAGTTAGCTACAAGGGTTATTAAAAAAAAGAAAACATAAGAATTGACATGTTCATACTTGTAAATGACTAAAATTATTTATGGAATTTTTTAAAAATTTGAATAAGCCTTGTATGAAATTTTTTTGGGGGTGTGGTTGCCTCCATGCCTCCTGTTTCTAAAATGTCGGGGTTATAGACCCGCAGAAATTTTGGGATTTATCCTAAAAACGACTTTTCGAAGTGCGTGGTGTTCATGCACCTCTATTCGAAGAAAAACTTTTGTCTCCCTCCCCCCCCCCCCCTCCTCCCGAACGGAAATCCTGGGTACACTACTGGAAAAAGGGAAGTAAATATTTGGATCTAATCATTACGTTTACATTTTTTAAAATTTTTCATCAAGATTTTACTGGGCAAAAAAAACATTTGAAATTATGTCTTCTTCTTCGTGATAAAAATAAAAGAATATTTCTTGACATAGTGAATAAAAACCGAGGGGGGGGGGAAGACAGGGTTTGTACTCTGACCTCCAAGGCTATACTTCACAATTTTTTTTCTTATTCGCACAAGTTGAGAATTTGCAGGTAATTTTCATGAAAAACATCAATTGAGAGGTCAGTGAGCGTAACTGACTGTATGTAAGTTGTATACAATTTTCGGGGGAATTGAGGGAACAAGGAGGGTGGGGAAGGGGGGCTAAAAAAGATGTGGTATCTCATTGATAATATGAGTTTTGAGCTTTGAAATATTTTTCTTATTATGATTTTTTATAGTCTTATGATGACGGTTCAAGTAGTTTTACTATGAGACCAGTAGTTGCTTCAGTTTTTTATCTTCAATTCCAGAGTAAAGTACAGATAATTCTTTTCGTAATATTATTTTCTTTCTTGCTCTCATAATAGGTTAAATAAGCGTTATATTTTCTTTATCCTTTTTTGATCTTGATTTTCAAAGTCAATCCTATGGAAATATTTTTTGAGCTGTTTTCCTGATTTTTTCTTTTCCAATTACAGGTGAAATGTTGGTGTCGAAGTCAAGACTATTGCAATACGGATCTTTCCGATCGTATTGAAGAAGATCATGAAGCACCGCAAAATCAAGTTGTTGCCGCTGAGGTTGGTAAAATAATTTCAGATTTTTTCTTGTAAATTTCTTTGGCTTGTGAATTTTATTCTCAAAAGCAAATCTATGTTTGAAGAGAGACGATACGTATTTCAAGAAAATCGAAACCACAACAACGACAGTGATTGAAGCGGAAAAGGAAGATGTTAAAGAAGATTTTGTTATTGAGAAAAACTACGATATGAAGGATGAGTACGTTTTGCATTTCTGTCTTGCAGCCCATTTTTCTTTGCTTTCTTTCTTTCTTTTTCATTATAGATTTTCTTTTCTTTTTGTCCTACGGTGATTGAATGTGTAAAAGTGGGGTGAGCGTTTGCAGCTTCTGTGATTTCGTTATGACGTTTCATCCATCAATTTGAATCAAAGAAGTACTGAGTTTTCTAGGCGTAAGCGGAAGGGGCGGGGAGGGGGGGGGGGAGTCAAAAATTTTTTGTGGAAGTCGAAAGTCTCTAATTCTAGTCTCGTAATTTGACAGAGTATTCATCAACGAGTTTTATGTAAAATATTGATCACAGAAGAAGTTGCCAGAGAGTTTAATTTTTTTATTCAAACTCAAATATTGATTGATTATCATTCCATCTTAATTTGATTCTTCAATTATTCCAGAAACCTCGCATGCATAAATTACTTCATTTATTTTTTGGTCAACTAAAATATGATTATCGGGTTAATTGCATTTTCGATTTTCTCAAATTTTTTCTTTAATTTTTGTACTATTCTTATACTTAAGCTTGTTCATCTCAGCTCAATCGATATATTGATAAATTGCACTTTTATTGATTACTGCATTGGCATCATGTGAAACTGAATGGCAAAATTAGACTGAGTAAATGAATTATTTTATTCTTACACAAAACTTCCTGTTTCATTTGAAAGCCGCTACAGATTTTCGGGGACCAGTTTTCACTGCACAAACAAATTTCGTTTCTGGACTTATTGATGTAAAAGTGGGTGCCGTTCCCGGAAAGTGCTTGAAAAAAATAGTACTAGCAATAAATCATTTTGTTACTACAAAAGTTCTTGTTTTTCTTGAGAGGCACTATAGCCGTCCGGGGATCAGTTTTCGCTCCATAAACAAATTTTGTTTTTGGTTTTATTGGTATGAGAGGGGTTTAATGAGTATGAGTAAATAAAATATTTGTTGCTACAAAAAGTTCCCGTTTCTCCAGACAGCCTAAGCCTCCCGGGGGATCAATTTCCGCGCTCCACAAACAAACCTTATTTTTAGTCTTCTTGTGAAATTGATACCCATTGCGAGGACTATATCTCCCCCCCCCCTCCTCCCCCATATCGTGTCGTCTTTTTTGCCCTGACCTTAGCCGCATTCGCATGGCACCACATTTTCTAGCCGTATAATCAAACAGTGGCCTCGAATTTCATGTTCCAATTTTAGCCTCGCCGATATCATGTTACAATAAAGCGCTTGCGAAATCCGGAGAAATTCCCATGGATATACGGGAGGGGAAAAAGCTAGGCGGCGTGGGGAAGGGGGTATAGTTTTCTTGGTTTCTGATCGCCAAAAACGTGGTCACAATCGCCTTAAATGGCTAATCCTTGCCGCGTCACTGCCCGCTATCAATGCGGTTTGCAAATCGAGTCGCACAAGCGTTCGCAAATGACTTTGTTGAACTTTACTCGTTCCCAGGAGAATGTGCGAAATAATTTACGGTCGTGTTTGTTAAATTTGGATTTTCTTTACTGAAGGGTCAGCGCATTATTAGCGGTAAAACTAGTGGTTCGAATGATGTAAAAGTTTAAAGCAAGCTAAAAATAGCAGTTGAAACAGAATTATTTTTGAAAGTATAGCTGAGAGTAAGTCGTAGAATTGGCATTTTCCAGATTCATGCATGGTAAAATTAGGGTATCCTGTTATGGTAGTGTTACGATAAGAGTTATTAGCGAGATAAAATCGCAAGTTTAAGCGCAGATACTCTTGAAAAATAGCTTGCACGTTTCTAGGAGTGTGAGAATTTTTATGTTGTTTTTTTGGCAAACTTTTCGTCTTTCTCGTCGGGTTTACGGTGTCATTACGGAATGGTTGTGGTGACACTACGGTTGGTGTTCGGAACTGTTTAAGAAGAGAAAATGAAACGGGAATTTTTTTTTTGAAACTAGAGCTAAGAGCAAGTGCGAAAATTTCCCCTGTCTTCTTAGCCACCTTTTCAATTCTGAGTGTAGAATTACGGTAGCTTTTGTTGTGATAATACTTACATAAAAATTTAGAAGGTTACGGTAACGCTACGGTAATAATTATGGTGGAATTATGATAACCTTTAAAGCCAGCAAAAACCTGATACTCGAAATGCGAATTTCCCACAGACGAGCTAAAAGTAAGTATGACTCTGTTTCTTGTTTTCTTTGCCAATTTTTCGATTTTACGGAGAAGTTACGGTGGGATTACGGTAAAATTACGGTAATGCCACGCTAATAACTCGAGTTGAAACTCGCAAGACGGAGATCTTTGAAGGCTTGCGTGTTCTTAGGAGCGCGGAAATTGATTGCTCGTTTTGGCACAGTTTCATTGCTGTAGGATTACGGTAGCATTACGGTCATGGTCAGTCACCAATAGTCATGGTAGTATTGTGGCAAAAGTAGTAAGTTAACCGTAAGCCAAAACGGAAGTTTTGAAAGTGCTCGCGGTCAGAAGGGAACGCGTAATTCAACATCTGCATTTTTTCTTTAGAGTTACTGTAGCATTACGGTACTGGTAATGGAAAAACAACGGTAGAAGTTTTCAACCGTAAAATATTGCATGTTGAAAAGAATTTCGCAATGGCTTGCAAGTTCCCAAGGAATAGCTTGAACATTTTCTCTCTTTATGCCTAATTTGCGACTTATGGTGGGATTACGGTAGCATCACGGTAATAACAGTAATATTACGGTAATGATAATCCAGAGAGAGCTAAAACTGCGAGTTAGAACAACTCCTCAGGAATATAGCTGAGAGCAAGTACGAATTTTACGTTTTTCTCCGGTTTACTTCGTGAACGGCAGAATTACGGTAGAATTACTGTAATATTTGTAGCATTAGGTGGAAACCTAGGACCGCGCAAAAGTTGCAAGTCGAGCATATTCCCACGGAAATAATGTGAGTAATATCTTTGTTTTTGCATATTTTCCAATTCTTACGGTAGGATTACGGTTACTTTTCGGTATTAGTTGCTTACCACGGTAAAGGTCCGAAAGCGAACTCAAAACCGTAAGTTGAAACGGGAATTTCTCGAAAGCAGCTTAAAGTACATGTAGCTCTCAATAGCTGGTCATTGTCCTTATGTTGGCTAGAGCTGTTTCCACATACGTGCCCGCAGCTGGGTGTCAATACGTCCGATGGTGTTTGTCTTGTAATGGAAGGATGCCGTCGTAAGCGTCTTTGTGGGTAGCGCTGCGCTTGTGTTCAAGAGGAAACCGGAGACGGGGCATGCGGGCGGACGGGGGTCATCAAGGGGATTTGTTCGGATTTTACACGAAGTGAGGATTTACGGAAGCATTTTTCGAATTTTCATAGGCTTTTTTGGAATGTTCACGAAATTGTCTGACTTGGGTTTCTTGTCTGGGAAATTATTGGAAGGCCCTAACTAAGCCATTGCCCAAAAGGCAGCTTATATGAATTATTCATGGCCAAGAAATTCAACTACAAACTCCAGCCCAGACAGTGCTCACTACCGTACTCGAGGGCGCTGATTGGTCCGTTCAAAATAACTGCTGTATCGCTGCATTTAGTGTTCAGTCTACACGGATAAATCATATAAACTACCACCTGATGCAAAAGAAAGCCAGCCAAGATTATTTGCTGATTTTCGAGGAATTTTTCGTTGGACAGGTTTTATTTTTGATGCGTCTATCAAATTATTTTGATAACAACAGGTAAATCTGTAGACTTTCGATATTTACTTTTTCACCCTTAGCATACGCATATACAAACAATTTTGTGTGTTTTTCGTGCTTGATGTGATGATCAAAACACAAACAAGATCGTGATAAGACTTGTGGGAAAATCCAGTATTGGATTTTCCAAAACAAATCTATTTATTTATTTATTCATGCACTATACACGAACAGCGTGCTAGATCAAAGGCAATTGGGGAAACCTGAAACAAAAAAAATGGCAATTTTCTACAGAATTTCATAAAATGCTGCAAATGAACGATCATAGAGCATGATTTCATGATCATAATAAATATATTTTTTATTTTCTCAGAAAATCCTCATAGTGATCAATTCCAAAAACGAATTTCATTTATACCAGAGTTAACACTTTTGAATGTTTTTAATGACAACGTTTCTTTTTCGGCACTTTTCCGTCAGTAGGAAAAATTTGGTCTTACTGCTACTTCTCCTTTATTGGGGTTGAAAGCTTGGACCAAGATACTTTTACGCTATTCGGGAACACTTGTCTCTTCATGATTCTTCGCACATATAAATCACTCAGACAACTAACCGGAACTTCCGCAGCACGTTTGGGAAAGTTTTGCCGGGTCATCGCCAAAGTTCCATAAAGCACTCCAGTTGTTGGGAGACAACATTGTAAAAGCACATTCAAAGTCTTGCGGAAATGCTGGCAGGCCAAGGTACTGCGGACAGTTTTATTTTTCGGCACTTCCGCAGTGTTTTGTAACAAGCCCTGCGGAAATTCCCGTCCTCAACCAGTCTGACGTGAAAATCCCGCGGAAGTTCCCACTTCCAACGCTTCCTTTTTTGTAATGGTAAAGGAAATCCTGCGCAATCGCTGCAAATTTATTTGCCTGCCCCGCGGAAGTTCTGGTGAATTGTCTGAGCAGATAATTTTCTTGAGCATGTGGATCTAAGAATTTATATATTTGCTATTCATTCATTGCTTCAATGCTCCAACACGTTTTTCAGCACAGAAAAAATGAAGTGAATTAGTGCATCAAGTGCTACTCAAGCGATGAGCCTCTTCTCTCACCGCACTGCCATCGTTAGAGCGGCGATGTTTACTCGTGCTTTGTTTTGTTGATTTATTTCATCTGTCAGGTCTATTTATTGTGCCGAAAAGAAGCTGCTATCTATAGCTGTAGCACTATCATAGAAAAAAATACAAGTGGACGAGGGGGGGGGGGGTTGTAAAACAGTAACAGCTGTTGTGATTACTTTGAAAGGAAGTTCCTGGTTTTTTTTCATCGTTAATGAATCAGAAATTCATTTGTATTGTTTGGAGGAGAAAAGGTAGGGTAGTCATCATTGCTGATGAATCGTACCGTATAGTTTCGCATTGCTTCATAAAAATAGGCAAACTTTTTTGTACAAACTCGCCCGCAGGAACCTTCCCAAATGAGTCTGGGAATTCCGCCCATTCAAACTTGCGCAAAACTTCCCAGAGAAACTCCGGAGAGCTCTTAGTTGAATGAGACATTTCCAGGCAGTTAGCAATCAGCAACCGCCACTCAATTTGCACTTTGTGTGGCTTATTGTTTGCTCTAGCTTCGCTCCTCCGTCCATTACGCACCTGTGCAAGCTGAGCTCTGCGCTACCGGGAGAGAACGAGAAGGGAATTGTGCGCATAACGGTCCTAAGCCGATTTGAGATTTTCTTTTGTGGGAATAAACAGGGGGAAATCGAAGGGAGAATGGAAGGGGGAAGGGGAGCGGGGAAATATACTTGGGTACTACAAAAAATTTAGTAATATTTGATACCGAGGGGTCAAAAGAAATGGAAGATTTTTTTCTGCGATTTTAAATCATTAGTAAAGAATATATGGAAAAATATAAATAAGTATAATCTATGCTATGCCACTGACTATTTCAACCTCTATTTATGTAACATTCAATTATTTTTTATCCTATTAATTTTACTAATAGCAGTTATTAGGTTGATGCATAATTCTTGCACCAAAAATTTTAAAATTCTATTGCTTCAGATGGTAATGATTGGATGTCCCTGCGAATAGTTGCAAATTTCGATTTTTTCGCGTTGACTTATTGATTTTGTTCCATACTATCTTTCTAGAATGTACTATAAATACTGCTTTCAATATACATAACAGTAAGCATATCCTTTGAATTGATTAGTCTGTTCGGGTATTTTTGAGACATTTTTTTCTATTTTTCGGTGCAAGAAATGTGCAGCAATAAATGAACTTTTTGAAAAGTATTTTATAAAATAAATATAAATTTGTTTCCATGCACAAGACAATAGTTTTCAAACTTTGTTTCGTTTTCCTCAGTTAACTTTCATGAATCTTGAGTTTCGCAATGTTTTTAATATTCTAGAAAACCTTCAATTACCAGATCTCTTTGAAAAATGGTACTTCTTGTTTTCCAGGAAGTTCATGAATTAATCATCTTTGTTTAATTTGAGTGCCAATTTCTGTCAACACAGAAGTTTGTCCTACTGCAGCTCCAATTTTGTAATTTTGCAGAATTTGAATTTGTAAAAGTAGTGCACTTATTTGAGCTAAATTATTACTGCTACTTTCCACTGAGTCACTATTGGCTCTTGTTGACGGGCTATTGAATTACCTTATGGTGTGAGAATTTGACTCAAGATCACCTGTTTTGCAGTAGATCTTTGCAGGGTGATAATGAGGGAATGATTAAGTTTTTTTCGAATAATTTTTTCGGAGATAAAGGTGTTTTCGATGCTTTTGATGTGATTGCATAAACATGTCTGCATTGAAGAAATTCTTTGAAAAGAAATCTCTCAAGGTAAAAGGACAAGAGTAAAGACATACATGCATAGCATTTTGTTTACGATTCTTTCTCGTCCTATACTTCAAACATTCGAATAAATAAATAAAAGTTGAGGACTATCGAAGAATGTAGCTTGCCGTAATGTTGGAAAAATGGAAGAAACAGTTTACATAGAATTTCCTTTTTTTCTTTCGAGATAAAAATGCCGTTTTTTTTTGGAAAATTTTTTAATGAGATGAACGAGCCTGAAGTATTGTTTTCGGATACTTTTACTTGCAAAAAAACTAATAATAAGAATAGGTTTGAAATACGAAATCACAAATGTTTATTAATGAAAATATAATTTTTATTAATGCTTGTGCCTTAAAAATAAATCGACGGTTAAATGAGAAAATAGTTGAAGGGTAAGAACATCAATGGTTTGACTATTGAAATAAATGAGGCCTGGAAAAACCATCAGATACAATGCGAAATTCTTAATCATGATTTTTCTTTTGTGATTTGCTACGTATTTTTTTCCTGTTTCTATTTGCTACTACTATAAGACTCCCAGAAGCTCTCGTAAAGCAATTTCGTCATCGTCGCTTGTACTTTTGATCTGTTTACACTTTTTCTACGGTAGATGTTTGTTGACATAGAGAGTAGTTGACGTAGAAACCGTGAGTCTGAGCAAACGGTTGTAGAATGTGGTTTTTATAAAATCGACTAGTCAGTCCTGGAAATGATGCGGTGCTCTTGGAAAAATCGTGGGGAGGGGAGTGTGGAGGAAAATTCTCACGAAATAGAGAAGAAAGAAGGGGATATGAAGGAAGGAATTCAGGGATAAACCTCAGGAGGAATCTGGAACGAATTTTTTGAAGAAAATTAGAGGAAATAGAGAAATGAAGAAAAATTGACTTATAAGGAATTCCGTATAGCGTTTGACCAAAGATCGTCCTCATCCTGCTTCAGTCTAGTCTCTAATCAAATTATCGCTCATGCCAAATGCAGAAGCGATCTTTGCCCCCCCCCCTCTTCCCCTCACGAAAACAAATCCAAAAAATATTTTGCCCCTTTCAGGGAATATCTAACGAACTATGACAGTGACATACCATCAGATGAAGATGACGAAGATGACGGACCACCAGTACCTACACCTGCGCCTAAATCAGAGGAAAAGTGAGTTTTTTTTTTGTTCAAAAAAATTCCTAAGACATATTTTCTGTTACAGGACAAAAACTCCAACATCTACAATTCCACCATGGCGACGAGAATATCCCGTAGAATCCTCAACTCATTCACGTCGGGTTCTTCCGCCACTTCCGCCACCGCCATTCCCTCCACAACCGGATGCGTATCTTCAACGTCTCCAACAAGAAGCTGAAGAAAGAAAACGAATACAAGAAGAATATGCGAGACGACGTGAACAGCTGCGACTTGAATATGAGAGGAGGCAAATGGGTAAAATTCTGAGCTTTTTTGGAAAATCGGAGATTTTTAATAAAATTTCCGGTTTCAGAGACCACCTCCTCCACTACCACCACCACCACTACCACAACCACTACCACTACAACCCCTTCAACGCCTGCCCCATTACCGCAGATAGTTTATCCCGTACAAGCTGACACACCTCGAGAGCCTGAATCTCGAAGGTTTGTTGAAAAATATTGATTTTTTTCATTCATGCCACAAAATTTTTTTTCCAGCAGAGAAATGGAAGAAGCTCGAGAAAGAGAGCGGCTATTGCATGAAGAACGTCTTCGCCAGGAACAACGAATGATTGTCGAACGAGCTCGTGCCCAAGCTGAGGCCAAAGCACGAGCTGAAGCACAGGCTCGAGCCGAGGCACGAGCTCGTGCTGAGGCCCAAGCTCAGGCGGAAGCTCGAGCCCGAGCTGAAGCCGCGGCTCGTGCCGCAGCTCGTGCCAAGCAAATTAGACATAATGTGACACAGCCAAGAGCATGGCTCAAGGTAAGACTGCGATTTTTCAGTGTTTTGTGGATTTTCAGGAGTTTTAGGTTGGAAATCAGTATAAACTCGTACCATGTATTGAACATATCTGCACGCACGTAATTGTATCAAATCGTCTAACGCCACTGCCTCACACAAGGTCGCATAAAGTCAGGTAGAGTCATTCGAGTAGAAATGGTAGAAATGCTTCTGTCAGAGTATGCTGTGGTAGCGTGACCTTCCCTGGTCAAATAACGTTTCTCGTGCCAGCGCTGTGCCAACGCCGTTCCAGTGCCGTGCCAGCGGCGTGCCGCGTTAAACGGTAGAGTCCCAGCACGGCGCTGGTACGGCGCAAGTACTTCGCTGAACGATGCTAGAGCTTTGCTGCATGGCAAATTTAGATGCAGTCTGCAATTTCTTTCCTTTTTCCTCTAAATTTCCTTTGCTAAGAGTTTTGCTTTCTTCTCCTTTTTGAGTAGTTTTCAACTTTCTGCAATTTTTTTGCTTTCGCTCACACCTTTTCGAATTTCTAAAAGCGCAGTATTGTAAATTTTTTCCGCTCCTCAAAATTCCCCTATAATCCTCATTTTATAGGATCCTTCGCTATCACAGCTTACTTTGACTCCCATAAGCTTCTATAAAACTTCTGACCCTGTGTGAGGTAGTCGTGACTGTGCCAGAAAAATTATTCTCGCAAAATCTCCGTTAACTACCTATTTTTCAACAAACCCGCTTCTTGAAGAGTGATGTATACGACTTTCTTTTGGTGTTTTGGTGAAGGGGACCAGTTCGATGCATTTATGGTGAAGGTTGGGACCAGTTCGATGCATTTATGGCTCAGGCCATCTACAGTCGTCCGTGTGCCGGCGCCGTGTCAGTGCCGTGCCGATACCTCACCACGTTATCGATTAAACTCGTCGGCCAAGTTCTTACACGAAGCTAGCACGGTGCTGGCACGATGCTGGATTGGCACTGGCAACTCTAAACGCGGCTTTAGAAGATAATTTTCCCGTTTTCTGATTTCCAAAATAACCGACTCTTGTACTGAACCTGGTCCCAAAATGTTGTAAACTTATTGCACGAGTATTACACCCGCATGTGTCCTCTTTTTGTCGCAGAAGCCAACGGGAGATCGTCGACGTCTGGTCACCGAGGATCGAAGAGCTCCACCTGTGTTTTCTGTTCGTCACTATCGTCCCTACGATCTTAACAGTGTGATCTCTGCACGTGAAAACAGACGAAATCTTACGACAACAACCGAAAAGGTTTGCATGTTGACTCTGTTCTGACACTCCTCCTAACACCGTCGTCATACCGTAATGTTACCGTGCTGGTACCTTGTAGCTACCGTAATGCACGCTTACTGTAACGTTTAATCAGTGGAGTTGCAACTTTTTGCGCTCGCAAATAAAGTAGAAAAGTGAAGCATGTTCAGTGGTATTCTTGAACGTACTTGGCGAAAAAATTTTTTAGCTCATGCATCACGCTATGAAAGTACTTTTTTGCTAAGGAAATTTTGACAGATAAAGTATTCAAAAACTCTTCCAATCATTAAAATCGATTATAATTAGTATTAAATTATGGGAAATAAGTTCTCGAAGTTTACTTGATTTGATTCCTTAGGCAATTCATTGGGACTTCCGCAAGACAAGCAAAATTTGCAGCTGTTCTGCCGGATTCTGTTTACTATTACAGAAGTGTAAACATTGAAAGGAAACTTTTGCGGAATTTCCACGTCTAGTCGGAAACGGAAACTTCCGCGGGGCTTTCTACGAGGAGCTGCGGAAATTCCGAAAAATGACAGCTGTTCCGCAACCGTTTGACTGGCCAGTACTTCCGCAGAACTTTGATTTTTGTTGTCCTTTAGGATGTTGTCTCTTCAACAACTAAAATGCATTGTTGAACTTGTCATCCGTAATGCAGAGGATTGTGAGTTTGTCTCACAGTCCCTAAAGCAACGTTCATATTTTTCTAAGGTGTTCGCTTTTGAATTGTGGTTCGCATTTTTCGGAACTTCCGCAGCTCCTCATTTGGGAGCTTCTGCAACACGTTTACGGAACTTCCGCAGGTGACCTGGTGGAACTTTCCTAAACGTATTGCGGAAGTTCCGCTCAGTTGCCTAGTCAGATCATCGAACATCATTTGGAAGTTTCTGTTTTGGTTTTTAAATCAACCCTGAACCTATATGATCATAATCTAGTGTACTGCCTTGAAATCACTAACTCCCCCTCCCCCTCTCTCTATATGACAATATTCAGACTGATTCTTTGACTTAGTCTGAAAATGACTGAGAATTATTGCGGTCTAAATCAATCTCTAGGCAAATCTGGGTGCCTCTCTTTTGCGAGAACTGTTTTAGATTCTCGACCATGCAGTGCCCGAGCGGCAGCTTATTTAGTTTACAAGTGGTCAAAAATGCAAATTCCCAGCGTACTTTATCCAGACAGACCCCTCAAATTCCTCGGGTGCCGTAGGCAGTGCTATTTGGGCTAGGATTTGAAGCTGAATTTTCTTCGGCAAGAATGATACACATGAGTTGTTGCTCTTGGATAAGGAACAATCAAAGATTCATTATTACTCTAAGTAAGGAACTGACCGGAATTTCCGCTTGTGGTTTATTAAAATTCTGCAAGCGTGCTGAGGAAGTTCCCGAGTGAAGCGCTGCGGAAATTCCGAAAATGCGCATCAAAACAGCAGAAGACAACATCTCAGCGAGATTTGAACCTTACTTTATTGGCTGCAAGACTCACCTTTGCACTACGGATGACATATTTGATAATGCACTCTAGCTGTTGGCAAAGCAACATCCGAGACAACACATTCAAAAACCTGCGGAAGTACTGGCATCTGAAAGTGCCGTGGAACCGCTGGCATTTTTCCAAAGTTCCGCAGCGCCTTCAAAAAGTCCTGCGCAAGTTCCCGTTCTCAACCAGTCTAACGCGAAAATCCTGCCGAAGTTTCCTTTTTGCAATAGTAAACGAAATCCTGCGGAAGCGCTGCGAATTTTGCTTGTCTTGCGGAAGTTCCGGTGAATGGTAGTAAGTCATCCAGAATAGCTGAACAACACCGTCTTCAAAGCTTCTAGCCTGAATAATTGCTTCAATTCCTCCTTAGTTCTGGTCAAATTGTAATTATCCTATTTTACTTTTAATATCCCCTGATTTCTTTCTTCCAAAAAGCATGCTATTTAGAACCGGTTTCAAAGAAGCCTGTGCCTTCTAGAAATAAAGTGTTTTTCCTCAAGGGGACGTTCCTAATTTCAGGTTGTTCCCACTTCCGATAGTGGTGAGGAAGCAGCAGAAAAACACGAAGAAACTTCTCGTAGTAGCACGACCAGCAGTACCACCGCCGCCACCACCACCACCGACACTACCACCTCCACCAGTACATCGACATCGACACCCTGCCGAAGTACTACTCGCCGGACCGTTGCCGCCGTTGAAACGACGTCGCCTTCGACTTCTCCTGCACTTTCAGCAGCTCCAACGTCGACGTCAACGTCAACTTCGCTATCCACAACCACCGACTCTTCCACCGCCACCGTGGCGACGTCGACGTCTGCACAGGCGCCGACAACGCGCTTCCGGAAGCTCCTTCCAACAGGCGGTGACGGCCGCTCCGTAATGTACCGTCAAAAGGTGCCGAAGAGTAAGCTAGACATGTACCATAGAATGTCGTCATCGAATTCGTTCTCGAAAATTCTTGCATTTATCGTTGTGCTGCTGTCGTGGTGCCTTCTCAGGTAGTAGGCACAGATCTGTGTGCTTCCGTTGTGATAATGTATAGCCTAGAAAATTTGGCGGTTAAAATAGTGGTTTTGCGTTGCTGACAACATTTGCGCGTAAAAATAGTTTTAAATGCGCAACTATAGCAAGTCACCCGCATTTTTCAAGCAGCTCGCCGGCAACTTGACAGCATATCTGCAACTTGCTTGCAAATTTTGTTCCCGCGCAAATGTTATTGTCACCGCAACGGCACTATTTCGTTGTCAAACCTACTAGACTGTAATATTAATGTGTGTGTGTCGCCGCTTTCTCTCTATGGTTTTTTCTCTTTCCACTTAAGTGCTGTTTATTTTGCTCAGCTATACGGGTTCGAATGTCTCGTTGCAATAGTCAATATCTAATATATGTAATTTTCTTTGCATATATCAGCAAGCATATCTGATTTCCACATTGTGCAGATTCTAATAAAGTATTCGTATGTCAAGAGGAATAGTCGCTTGCGGGATAAGAGCCAAAAATATCGAACTTCTAGACTTTCCATCCTTTTTTACGACTCGAGAATCAGCATAATGATAAACTTTTCTAGTTTCTCCTTATTTCTCGAACTCATAACTAATTGTTCTAACAATAAGCATTGGAAAGCTTTGCAAAGTAGACTTGACTAACGAGCGTTGCTCCCAGTCAGAAATCTGACAATGAGAGAGAAAAAATTTTGGAAAGTTCTAACTTTTCCCAAATTATCAAGCAAATAAGTTTCGGAAATTTATTGAGACTCCTGTAAAAATCCCTCTAAATTTGGTGGAGAATATCATTGTCGCGAAGTACCGAGTTGTTATGAAACCATGCGATTGATTTTCCTGACACTATGTATAATCATTTTTGACTTGGCTTACCGCAGCAGCCGATTTAGGCCCGTATGCACGTACATCCCCGCGAGGAGGGGATGCGCGCTTAACCATTGAAATGGTCCCCGCTGGGGCTCCCCTCCCTTCCCCACGCGAATCCTCGTATGCATAAAGACAATACCGGGGAAGGGATCCCCTGGGAGTAGGGGAAGGGAACGCCCTTATGCAGAAGGGAGGATCGAGCGGGGAAATCACTTCGCTTCAGCTTTTTTGTGGTAATTATTTCTTTCTTAAGTTTTGATAGCTACTCGCCTCCAGCGTATCATCGGCAATACTTTAGTCGTTGGGGAATGCCGTCTGCCGTGATTGCGCTCGGCGCCAAAAAAATATTTCCCACGCACAGTATACTCCTGCTGTTTTCATGGATGTTGCTCACTTTCGCTAATGCTACCCGTTTCAGCGTAACAGTGTCCAACATTAGAAGTCATGATGTTTCTGCAGTGATTGCGTGGAAGATGTTATGCTGCCGAAAAAAAGGGGGGGTGCCGCGGACACTCAAACCAGCATTTCCACACATAGTAGAAGATGCAAATCGTGCCAGCTCTTCATGGAGGCTGTGCTATTAGCGATATACTGTCCATTCCCCCAAGGGAATGATTCCCAGCGGCCATCCCTGCTATGCACGAGGGGACTGGGGAGTGGATCACTCCCCTGGGGATCTCTGCTCAGAAATAGGCAAATCTGCTATTTTCTAGATTTTTTCAAGGCAGCTTATGTTAAAATAACAAGATAAAGGCAACATGTCATGAAATATGAAAGTTACAATGTGTTTAATTAGCCTAACGGCTAAAATTATCATGTCATATAAAATGCGCAATTTTCGTGAATGGTCAAGAACTCCTACAAATATTCAGAATTGGCAGCCATTATAAGCTCAGGTTTCTTTTCAAGAAGCGAATATAGAACAAGGAGATAAGTGCAAGCTGCAGGTCGCCGAGAGAGGAACCCAGCTTTCGAAGAAAATCCTTTCATCAAATGGAACGAAAGGCTTTGTAATATCTGATTGAAATCAGAGTATTCGCTCTCTGGCATGACCTATACCATCGAACCCCTACTCCATTGCAGGGGATGTCGTTCCCCTCCCCCGCGTCTTCGAGCTACAGTCGTGCATACGGGGGAAGGGAAGGGATCCCCACCGGGCTTCGTCCGATCGATACCCCCGAAATCAAGTACAGAATCTGAGGCAGCGAAAGAGTATCACACTGGTAAACACTGGGAAAACCACAAAAATTACAAAAGGCTACACACTCACGACTTCTTTTGTAGGAAAAGTGCAGCCATAACATGATTGCGAGAAAATCATTTCATGTGCTATATAGGCTCACACCGCTTCAAAAATCGTCATTATCACTACTGACAGCACGTAGCCTTCGAACCAGTGATATGGAAAAAAGAGAGCGAAGCAGAGAAATGTAATGGGAGGGGTGAATGGAAAAGTGTGAGAAGGGACGAAGGCACGCGAAATAGTATTCTTGTACATTTTGTTTCAAAAGCCATTCTGGTGCACAAGAATTGACCAAAAACAACTTTTTGAGAGGTATTGTGCGGGGATGTACGTGCATACGGGCCTTAGTGGGGATTGCTGTGCCCGAATTATCGGTACAAATATGTGCCCAATATCACCTAAACAATATATACAGTAATCAGAAGTTTAAAGTGCGAAAAGCGAGGACTTTGAATTCTTTTATCAACAAAGGGGCCATTGGGGTGCCCAAAAATGTCGGAAAAATTTCCTGCAGATACACTAAAACCGATTTGTCCTGAAAGTTTTAGCATAAAAGTTTTAGTAGATTCTTGTTTGGCTACTACATTTGAGCTCTCCAGCTCTCAGTATATTTGTAATTCTGCACGAACAGAAATAATTTGAACACAATGAGAGCTGATCAGCGGCCGCTTTTCAAGTCGACTTTTTCCCTTCTGCGCATCCCCAGTTGAAGTGCTAGAAACTCAAAATATATCTTGTAGACAAAATGTTCTTCGCAACGAAACTTGTATCCCTAAAACAGCCTCATTTTGTTAGAAATCATAGCATTAGAATGAATTTTCTGCAAATGCGCGGAAACTTCCTTCAGAACCTGCTAAATGGGGTGAGTGGCTGTGGTGTAATAACGTCAGAAGTTTTGTCCGAAAATCATAATTAACCCTCAAAAGGTTTTTTCTTCAAAAAAGTGAAATGAAGTTTAGCCAACAAGGAACTGTAAAAAACATGCCGCGGTATGTTACGATTTGTTTGATATGCAGTGCGCCTATCAAATTACACATTATTCTAATGTATGAATTGCATGGAAAAATGCTTTTTTAGCTGTATAGCGCTGGTAAGAAAGTCGACATAGTTTCTGTGATCGTATTTCCCTTAATTATCTCAGAAAATAGACAAAAATATGCTTGATTTGGTCTAGAATTAACAAATGCGCAGTGCGTGGTTTCCGGCCATTTTTGTTTTTACGAGTGCGAAAACAGCTTTATAAACACAAAATGAGAAGTCTTATGAAATGATAAACGATGAAACATAAAATTCAAAGGTAAACCCAAGATTTATTAACATCGAACCATTAACATACTGAGCAATATACATCAGAACGTTTGATCACATTACCGTAATTCGGCCTTCCCTCAACATTTCTCGGATACGATATTTTTGAATCTTTGTGTGTATTCGTGGAAAATCATGCACAAATGCAAACTTATCCGGTACAGGGAACTGAAATTGGTCTTTCATTGCGGGATTCAAGGAGTAGAGATTTGCCTACCACATGTTTTTTACACATCGCTGTAAGTGCCGTCTTTACTTCGGAAGTATCGGCTTGATTGTTTCTGAGTACGCATACTGCGGTTACTGGTTGACCTCGTCCCACGGAGACCACCTGTAAAAATTGAGTGCAAAGTATAAATTCTTGCAGACAGCTAGATCCGGGCCAATTTGGATACTCGAACTTTTGAGTAGCTCATTTATTGTGGCCGAGAAATTCAACTTTGAACTACTGCCCATTACCGAGTTCCGACCGATCACCATACTCGATTACGGTACTGGGCGAGGGTTCAGTACTAAATTTCTCGATCAAGAACACACATTACGAGCTGCGTGGTCAGTAGTTCGGCCAAGCCTCTCTCCTCCCCCCCCCCCCCCATCCTCCTGGTTCATATTGCCTGGACATTCTTTGCTAATGGAAATCCATGTATTACTGTTTAGACATCTCACCTGTACACCTTTGATAAGCTCATTTTGGTTAAGTAACCGTTCAATATTCCAGTGTTCTACCAAACCATTATTGTTGTCATAGATTAGATCCTCCTTGTTGGCGACAATTTCAATGCTACCTTCTTCGTCCTTGCGAGCAACATCGCTAAAACTACTTCAGCTTCTGGTGAAAAAAAAATAATATGTAAATATGAGATGTCTTCTACAAAAGTAGATTAAGCTAATGAGCTTCATTGCTAATGATAGCAATGAAGTGATTGCTTACCCAGTATCCACCCATTTTTCTTTTCCTTTAGTGTCAGGCGCATAACCCATAAATGTACTTCCATAATAGACACGGATTTGGAGCAGACCAAGCTGACCAGGTTTCACTTCGCCATTGCCATTTAGGGGAGTTAGATGGGTCTAAAAAATAACAAAATCAAAGAAAAATTTTCAGAAACACATGATACGCTTGGGTAAGAGAAATTTGAAAAAGATCCATCTAACGGTGCTCTCTGCTCTGCGTAAACTAGTATTTGAACTGAATATTTGACTTGAGATTTCACTAATGAGTAATTCTTATCTTTTTATAATTGTTTCGTAATTGTGTAAAGGAAAAGTTTTAACTAGCGGTTCCTATAAGTTTGTGCATTTACCTCATATCCGGCAATTGCCCTTCCCACCATTTTTGTGAAATCCGTTGTAGCATCTCCCATTATGGGAATTGATCCGGTCTCTGTGAGCATGTAACCTACCTGAAACATCTGGTTTTTTTTCTGTGTAATTGGAAGAAAAAGTCACTGACCGCTATGATCTTCACATTATCAGCTTGCTTCTCAATGCTTTTTAGAGCATCTTTTGAGACTCGATCGCCCAGAAGTAGAATCTGCTCGATGCTATCCAGCTTTACTCTTTGGGTTTCGCTGATCTTCAAGAGCAATCGCAAAGCAGCACCATTCGTTAGAAGCGTAGAACAGCTGAAATCTATGATTTTGGTAATAAATCGATTTTTTAGTTTATATGAGGGTAAAGCTTACTTGTACTTTTTCACAGATGCAAAAAGGTTTCTGGGTAGAGGCTGTGGCTCAGGAAAGACGGAGCAGGAATCGGTAAGAAACGGCGAAAGACAGACAAGGGCAAATATGGGAAGGCGGAAGAGCGGAAGAGCACAGGCAAGAGTTTGCTGAAAAATGGGTAAGCTCAGGAACTTGTTCTTCAGTTTTGGTTAGATTCAATCAATAAACATCGCTGTACGTATATTTGAAATGGTATAAATCCAAAATTCTTTTGTGATCTCGTGAAGCCAGTCCAGAATAAAGTGATTCAGCTCCCTCAGTGTTAAAAAAAATGAAACTTACATCCTTTTTGATTCCAAACGCTGTCACAACTGCTCGAGCACCGTTGAGAAGTTGAAAATGGGAGATTGCTACTAATTTTGGCTCAGCGGTGGTTCCCTGAGAGTAAATTGAATATTTCTTTATCATTCTCTTATTACAAGGAAGCAAGCTGAATAAGCTTCACCTACACTTTTATTTATATAAAACTTAAACTTACCAGCGTAAACTGCATGCATGCAAGTTTGTGACTACTCCAATTATTGTAATCAGGCAACTTTGCAATTCGTTCTTTTGATGATCTCCCGTAAACTTCGGACAAAGTAAAGCAGCCACTAAAATGAGAAAATTACTCGAGGCTGCTGCTAAACAGTTTATTACTCAATCTACTGCGTATAAGAAAATTTTTTTCAAAGGAATTATATAAAACCTTACCTGTGACGATGTTCTTCTTCTGCTAGGATAACATGTGTCAGCTTTGGCAGCGTATTGCTCTTTAGTTGGCCTGAATGTTCTTTAATATGAGGCCAGCCAAGATTTAACTTGCGCTTTTTTTTTCAAGAATTTTTTGACATAAAACAATTTTTCTGCTTCATTCCTGTCCAAGAGTTCTGTTGGACTAAAAGTTCTATTTTTTATGAAAGACTGAATTGTTCTGACTCGCTTTCACTTTGACTCCAGGAAGCACTTCTTTTACCTTTCTACCAATATACAAGCCAAAGTATATAAAAAGTTAAGGGACAATAATTTTGGCCTTACCAGAAAGGGTGCGTTTCAGTAATTGAAGTGAGATTTTTTCGCAATTTCACGTAAGTTATCTGGGGAAAAACTTTGCAAAAAAATACAGCTTCTACTATCCCCTTTGGTTTTCTTTTATACGAAGTCAAACCTATCCATGTTTTCCTATTTCCGAAGAAAAACCCAAGCAGCCTTTTTTGCATTTCCAACAATTAGCATACCCTTGTGACTATGCATAAGCTCTGGAGTGATCCTTATTAGTAGAGAGTGTAGATAGTCCTGAGATCCTGGGACGCGAAAGCAAATCACTGCGCGAAATTCACCCTGAAAGAAACTTTTCGGGAAACTAAACACTAAATAATGTAGGAATCCTAGAGGAAAACTTACCAGTTTCAATGCTCTATGAAAACTCTCCTCATCTGCAAAATTCGGGTTAGCAAGTGAAAATACAAGGCCAGCCCTTGAGGCGGCGAGGGCAGACAGAAATACCTAAAATTATTGCCAAATGTGACGAAGTTGACTAAAGTGCAAAATTTAGAGAGAAGTTTTTTTTTCTCATGGCTTATGTATGACCGAATTGATTTTATCGAATGATTTTGATTATTGGTTCTATACCTGCGAATGGTTGCTGCCACATATGAGAATGCGATCTCCTGGTGCAAGTCCAGTTGATAAGAGACCTGCTGCGAGCGTTTCCATCTGAACAGAATTTTCCTCTTTTTTAATTTCTGCCAAAATTTAATTACTTACTTCTGACACCACCTTAGCAAATGTCAATGACAATTTCTCAGCATCAAAAACTGCCGCTACACGGTCACTACTTGCCCGGCTATAAATCAACTCAGGAATAGTTTGCGAAGAGAAGTCCACTTGCTTTGGTGGTGGTGCGGGCGAAGCTCCCTAGATAATTTTTTTATGATTCAAAATTTATCGATTGGCTCGTAAATCACTTACAGTAACCCAGCCATTGTAATCAATGCAATAGATTTGGTTGAATAGAACCATAGGGATTCTGAAACGGGAATTATTCTTAACATAGACGGCTGTTGAAAGAGGGTAGAAGCGTCAAAATGAAACGGTAGAAATTAGTCGCAGCAGGAAAATCTCTCATACTACATGACAGATGACGATTGGTGAGAGTAGAATTTTATGTACTTTTGCTGTCAAGACAAATATAAGTTCATTTTAGCTATGGAAGATTGATGATGGAGCGTGTATATTTTGATTTTAAAGTGTCTTCTCTGTGCTTTTTAAATTTTTATGCAGTTCTTTGGCCGATCCATAGAGGTTTTCGCTGGAGTAACTAAGAAATGCATTAGGCACATTGTAAAACGGAGTTCCTAACCTTTCCCACAACAACATTTTAGGATCCCGGAAAAAAAGTTTTGTCTTCATAAATTTTCAAATTTTCCCCCAGACTGGCTATTTTCTCAAGAATACTCCAGCATCTGCTTTCCTATATTCAGGCGCTTCATCAGTTCTTTCTTCTAATACTAATATGAAATCTCTTCAAGGTACTACCTGAATGAGCTTACAAACGTTTTTTTTTCTACGTGTACTTTCAATGAATGTTATACATTTCGACTTTCCTTGAACCAAAACTTCTTGACGATGGTGAGAGTAGAATCAGACTTTTCCTCATTAATTCAAGTGATAAGAGAGTTCTAATTGCTTAAAACTCTTCGTTGCTCTGCACATTTAGAGTGTAACAAGTAAACGAAAGTATACTATAAATTGTATAAACAATTAAGTAAATAATTATTGGTTTCTGTACAACTATCAGCCTTCAAATTAAATGGTGGGTATCAAACTTCCGCGATAAACCTAAGTTTATGAAATTTCAGCAAATTCTGCTTCAATGAAGTCAGATCAAGAATATTTGAATATATAGACCCTGCTTTGCTTTTCCGATTCCGAAAATCACTGTTACGCTTTTTCGACTGCTCATGTGACACTGACCTCATCCTCCGGGTTTTTCAAAATTTACACTGGCGAATGGGCGCACACGAAAACAAACATATGTGACTATGACAATTGTTGTTTTGGAACATCTGCCATTATCCGATGAAGTGGACGTTGGTACGGGTGGAACGGAAAGTGTGTTAAAATTGTTTGGGAAGCAAAATAGTAGATTTTTCATGTTTTAAGGCTAAAAGAGCACAAAAAATTGTGGATTAGAATTTTTTTGTCAGAAAAAAAACTCTTGTGAAATTTGCTCCTGGTTCCCCTTACTTGAATAATATTATAGATATGATCGAGTTATTCAAGTTACTCGAGATTTTGCTTAAATTATAACTTTGAATGAAGATATTGACTTGATTTTATCTCTAGAATAACCATTTGATTGTAATCAAGTAATCATTGTTACAAACATATGCCAACACAGATTCTCACATCTGTCAATTCTTGAGTAATTGTGCACATCGAGATAAATAACACGATGCTCGAGAATCGCTTCCAGTTGACCAGAAAGTGAATATAGTAAGGAATGAGCGAAACGTAGGAGTTGTTGAAAGATTGCTAATGTAAAGAAAAAGTTTGAAAAAGAGAAAATTTTGAAAAAGGCGATTTGGTTCGGAACAAATAAAGTGTAACGAAAGTGAGTTGAGACAGCAGAGGAATTCGCTACATAATCTGGAACATCTGGACCTACATCAGAACAACGGTCTTAAAATTACCCTATCAACAATATCTTACACCTTTGATAGAACTAGCCTAAGAATAATATAATGATGCTGAAGCTGGTTTTCAGAACTTTAGATTTGACGCGAATTTTTTTAAACCTTGAGTGGTACCGAATTATCTAGATTTCCAGGCTAGACTGGTAAAGAAGTTTTGCCCAGAACGAATGAAATGCGAAGACTTTACCAAGACTAAAGCTATATTCTGGAATTCCTAAATTAGTAGGCATTCATACCAATAATTTTAACGTCCTCATTTTTCCTTTTCGCCATTAGAATGCATAAGTTTGCTAGTTGATTGCACGCTGCAGTCTTTAGGGGGCTCCGCAGCATTTTTCTTTCCCAAAAGGTTGACTTCTAATGGCTAAAAATTTTAAATGCTGTGGGCTGTAAAGCTTGCAAGTTCTTCTGAAGAATGGCAGAAAAATAATGCTCTGCTGTTCAAAGCAGATTTTACACTGCGAGTTTAATAAAGGACTACATAAAATTGTCAAACATATGGATGACATATGTTATCTATTTTGAACTTATTATTTTCCATTGAAAGTGACACTAGCAGATGCTGGACCGGAAATCCTCGAGGAGAATATCAGTTCAAAAATTATGAAAATACTCGACAATTCACCTATATGATGACTTTCCTAGGCAGTTAAATAGATTGAGTGATCGATTATTGATTTTCAGAGTAAGCTCAAATAATTGATAATCGATTATCTTGAATGGATTTGGGATATGAAGATATTGGAGCCAAAAGGATTACACAGCAAGCTTTGACCGCAGGAGCACAGCACAGCACAGCCTTCGGCGAACAACTGACAATATTTTTCGGGCCACGCCTGCATTTCGTTTCGAAAAAAGTTCGTTTTTCAGGCAAAATATGGTTTTTTATACCTTCGTATTTGTTCGAACAGAATTTCAAGTATCTGGTTTTGGACTCACACTCTGCTGAAAGTTGTGAAAGAAAAAAGTAATTGTAGTGAATTCCATGCAAATTTTTATACAGTCAACTTCATTCTGGCAACACTTTGTGCAATTGCACCAATTTCAAACTACTGCTGGAACAGGCAAGAAAAGCTTCGCAAATTCACTTGTATGGAAGAACAAGCGCAGTTCAAGATTGCCTCCCAACGCAATTCGAAAATTGTGCAATCACACAAACTGCTAGAATGAGGTAACCGTAAGTATAATTTTATATGTTCCTGCATTATCTCAATATACAATTTTATATGTTCCTGCATTATCTCAATAACATTCTTGCCTTTCGTTTCAGTTAAATAGAAATTTGTTGCAGAATTATCGCAATTCGTTCTAGTGTCACATACTCCTTGTCGCATACTCATACTGTAGGATTACGGTAGTTGCACGCTACTCATCAATCACCTCCTTTAAGGTTACTGCTAGAAAAGCATGCAAGGGGCAAAGATAACAACTGACAAATCATAACAAGCATTATGCTAGCATTGAACTACGGGACTTCCATAGGATTTGGGTTATACCGTACCGGTGGGGTTACGGTAACTGCTCTGTACTCATTACCACTACATAGTATTATAGACAAATTTTTAGTCCTATATTCACCAAAACAGCGCTATGATCTGCACCGGGATGATAAGTGTGAAAAACAAAAATATTATTCGAGAAGCTTCTTGAGGGAAAAACACCGAATATGAAGAAGGAGACGATTGTATCGATGCTGTACATGCATGGCCCAGACATACTCACCTCAATGCAGCCCATTTATCAGCTGAGTTGGTGTAATAGCACAAAAAGTCATTGAAGTCATCCTTTGCGTAAGCCATTGCTCAGTATTCTTTGCAAAGAAGAAAGTAAATCAAATTTCTTTGAACTTTTATGTTGCTGTTTGGAATCAAGAGCTTTGTCGTATGGTTCGTAGTGGTTTTAATGTGAGTCAAGTCTTTCTGGATTGTGTTTAGCTTTGCTTAGCTTTTCGAGAGGGGGGGGGGAGGGCATGAGTCATAATTATTGAGCTTTACGAGCCTGCAAAGGATTTGTTTAAGTTTCATGAGATTTAGGCATCATTTCCAATAAAAAAATGAAAATTGGGAAAGGAACCGAAGTTAGGTTATGCAACCAGATGCTAAGCTCTGGTACACATCCACACCACAAGAAATTTTTCTCATATTTAGTATTATGTTGTGTCAAACAGTATTATGTTCGATCAATATCTCCCTTGGCAATGAGATGGGAATTTTTTATATGAACAAACCAGCGTTGGATGGCGCAGGTAATTAGCAAGTTGACCACTGTGAAGGACATCAGTGGTTCGATACCTCCACATTGCCGTTAGCTTTGCAAAACCACGCCAATTCTATTGCAAAAAATATCGATAGGTACCTCAAACTTGGGTAACTAAACCAAAAACTTGAACAAAAAATCATAAAAATTGAAATTTGTCACAAAATAGACTATATCCACATGGATAAGTGAAGTTTTCATACTGTTGATGTATCTCAGATGGTTCACTGGTAAAGTTCTTGACTTGGGGTTGAAACACAATGAGTTCGATCCCCCTAGAAGTCAGGTTGGCTGTTATGGGGCAGTTTTACCACTAATTTATGTGAATTAAAAATCAATTTCTTCACACTTTAGACCAATATCAAAATTGCGACCTATACGCAGCGGAAAAAAGGAGTACTCGGTGAAAAAATAGGCGAGTACGGCGAGCAGGAGGCAACAAAGGGAGAAGGGGTCAGAGGCACCAAGAAAGAACAAGCAGGGGCCGGGGGAGCAAGGCACCGAGGAGCAAGTGGAGCGAGGGAAGAAGGGGGAAAAAGGAGGAAAGAGGACCCAGAAACCGAGGGCAAAGGGAACCCAACGAATCAAAGGAAACATCATATGCAAGTGCGGTCCTAATAGTAAGTCCAAAGTGAAATTTTCCGCAAAACCCCCTCGTGAACCACCGGCTGGACCACCCCAGGCGCCCTCCAACGCCCCAGCTCCAGATCCGAAACTCAGTGAAATAATAAACAACGAACCTTGCCTCCCGCTGAGATTGAACCTCGGATGCTCGCTCGAAGGGCAGAAGCACTACCCACTCGACCACCGCACACTAATCCACGAGCCGTTTTGCGCTTTCAAGACGGTTACAACAATCTTGCATCAACAAAACTGTGACACCAAGGTATCGAACTGTTAACCCTTGAGCGATCAGACTTCTGAGACAAACAGCTAGACCATTCGGCCATTTGGACAACTACATACAGAAAACAAAACTTCTTCAAGGATTCAAAATGCCTTTGCCAATAATGTGGACGACTTTTTTTCACATTATAAGTGTGTATAAGTGGTCAAATGGATAGGTGTTTGGCGTCTGAAAGTCCCGTCCTAGAGCTTGATGAGTTCGGTTCCACTGATGCTCGAAATAATTTTATTTTGGATTTTTCAATCGTATTTTTATTTTCAGAATATTTTTGCTTTTTAGCTCATACATTATGCTGCTATTCATTTTCATGTCTGTCTCGTCGTGTTATGCGTTCTATCTCGTTATATATATAAAAAAATATGTATGCTCTATACATGCATACATAATTTTGGAATAAAATATTATGTAAGTTTCTGAGGTAGCGCCGCCCCTTGCGAAGCTCCGCCCACTCCGTCAAAACTGCCCAAAGTCACATTCTTGTAACTTGTGCAAAAAATAGCAACTTCAGCCGAGTGGGCGGAGTTTGCCAGAAGGGCGGAGCGAATATAATATATTTGCATACAATTTCTTCAATTTTTCCAAGCATAAAAGCCACAGTTTCACACTTCTTCATTAATTTATACAATCGGAATGCTTACACAATATGTGCCTTCGGAAAGAATAAAGCCATTATTAGCCAAGGAAGAACATGAAGGAGAGTACGAGTGTGTCATAGCTGTTGCACATATACGCAATCTACAGCGATGCAGCGGCGCAAATCACCACAACGATACGATCGATATACGATCAGAGTACGGTAACAAAAGCATCTAGAACGTAGAAAATTACCAGCGCCAAAGAGAATAGGAGGACCTACAACGTATATGGTATACAATACAATGATGGAAATGACAGAAGTGATCTCTCTCTAGGAGAAGAGAAGAATCCCGATAATGACTCGACGAAACCCATTTCAATCACAGATATTATAAATACAATAGGGAGTAGGAAGGACTAGTACGATACGTGGGGAAGAAGAAAAAACGGCTGGGGCTGTGACGAGAGAGACTACGGGGCAGCTTACCCATTAGGTAAGGTATGCCCAGATATTAGTGACTATAGGGTCAGTATGGGGCATTTAAGGCCGCCATTTCTGTGTAGGGGCGCCGCCAAGGTGAAGCCAAACAGTTTCGAATTCTGATTCGAGTATTTCGGCGCCCTTCTTACGGGTTAGTCCAGTCTGATCAAGCGGGATCTCGCACATGTGCAGGTCGTCTCGGCCTGGAAAATTGCCAAATTTTAGAACCACTTATTCAATTAGCTCCTATAATTCATGAGAAGCGGACCCTTTTGCACATGTATACCGTATGCTACCAAAATGTGGACATGGATAAGAGCTAGGACTAATCTCATGCGAGTTTCGCAGCAAAAAATTCAAGTAGATCTAAAACAAAGCTGTCCTTTTGCCCCCTTGGCATACTGTGGCATAACGAACCACAGCTTTTTCTGAATGGCCATCAAAAAAGTTTCGCTATGCGAGTCTCAAAGCAAAATTTCAGAAGAAAATTTTCAGAACAGATTCGCCCCCTTTGCACAACTAGCGCACTGTAGCGGTGTAAAAGAGGCCACTATGGTCTACAAGTGGCATCGCGTCGTTTTCGTCGTTTTCACAAATGCGCTTTAGAAAAGAATGCTTCTCGTGTAATGTACCATTGCTGCAAGCTGCGTGTCACGTAACAGTTAATCGCGCAAGATTAGATAGCATACTGTAGCGGTGCGAAAGGGGTCGCAGGCTTCAATTTGGCCTGAAATGTTTTCGTCCAAATTTTCAATGAAACTTTCAACATGCGATGACGTACTGATACCGACACAAGTGTCACACGCAATCTCAGTCGCGCAAGAATAGATAGCATACTGTAGCGGTGCAAAAAGGTCGTTTCCTTCAGAATTATCATATAAGAGCACTAACCAGCAACGAGTAGAATGGGAGTCTTATTCGGATGCATTTCAATCTGTCGTTGGATCCATTGTCCATTAAAATGTGCGTACCACAAGCCTTGCTGTATGACTCGGCTATCATTGTAATATCCTAAAAATTTGAAATTTTGCAACAAATTGGGGGGGGGGGGGACAGATAGGGTCACTTTACAGAAAAAAAAGTATCTTACCGTTATTGTTGTTATTCTTATAGATATCAGCAGGACGTGAAAATGGTACTTTGAAATATCTTTGCATCGTTAGTGCTGGATTCACCTGGGGTGCCATGATCGTACGTTCTGAAACTAAACATCATCGCTTTTTGCGAGACTGGATTCGACGGACAACTGTCACAAAATCCAAAATCAAAAACTCAAGTGGTGACAGTATCTCAAAACCAGAGCTCTACTTACTTTGTGCATTTGCGTACACTGCATTTGGTGCTCGTTGCGTAGTCGATTCACGATCTGCTTGATTTCTTGACTTCCATGCATTGTAGATACGTAGACGACGATGGAATTCTTCTTTACACGCCAATAGTAAGTCCATATCTGAACTCGACGAGTCAATTCATCAATCACTTTTATGGCGACGTAGATTTGATGGATATCATTCAGCCACATAAATTTTACGTTTAACAGATTATGAAAAAAATTGCGGACAAGCCCATATCCCAGCTGAGCAATTACCTTACCCTTGTGACTAGTAAAATTGCGTCATAAAAGCGAAATTTTTCAGACCGCTAGACATCATACGTTCGCTCAAATCCAATTTAGGAATTTCCAACACTCTTTGTTAAGCCATAAGCTCGAAAACAAATTGAGCGGTAGAAAATTTCACTTCGATGAAATTTCACCAGCACTTGGATTATTCATAATGAACTTTTTCCAAGACATCACGAACGTGGGAATTCATTTAAATATGAACATAAATTTTCAAAAAAAAAAGAGCATTTGCAAAATTTGAGCACGTTTCCTCCTAAGCTCACCCTTTTCAGTACCAAATTTCACTTCCCAACTATGCCTCATATTCTAAGAGACAGCCCTTTTACACCGTTACAGTATGCTACCGTAAGCCGCGATGCCACTATTCCAAGAGGCGGCATTTTACACCGTTAGAGCATGTTATCTAACTGAGAAACAGCTCTTTTACACCATTACAGTATGCTACTATTTTAAGAGGTGGAATTGTTACACTAAGCGTGCTACCTACCATTGCTGCTGTTTATCCAGGGCCAAGAGGGTTACGGTTGTTATACGGTATGTGAACAAATAAGCTAATGAATTTCGAATCAGCCGCATGCTCAGCTGGTATGGTAATTGCCGGAAATGATATTTATTAGATTTTATGTTCATACTGTAAGCTACCGTAACCACGAACCAAAGAAGTGTTATTGTCACATCAAACAAATCTTGTTGTTTTCTTACCAATTCACAAGAGTTTGAGTGTTGTCAAATGGTTGGAAACCTCTTTTCTTACAAATAAAAGGATGTTCAGAAAAAACAGAACATTCTCAATTTCCACATCCATATTCTCAAATTTCAGCATCATTTTCTTTCGAAATTAGCATCATTTTTCTTCGCAAATTCACGTGAAAGAAAGCGCTCCCTATCGTCTTCTAGTCACTTTTTTCACGCAAAGCGCTCTTTTGAACTGCTACGCTCTCTTTTCATTAATATTTGAACCTTACGAGCTTCGGCTTCGTTCTTTATTGCCCAAAGCTACATTCTTTCGCTTTGTTCCACAACAAAAGCACGTTATCCAGCCGTGTCCGTTAAACATCTGGCTTCCGTCAAAGTGACATCATCACTTCCGTGCATAAAAAAGACCCCGTTAATAACAGAGTAAGGGTATCGGACGCCTGTGAAGCCAAAAATTCATGACAAAAAATTGTCCTATTAAAGTAAGTAAATGGTAACTTCAGCAAAAGCAAAGGGCACCATTCACTTAGAAAGGAAATTAGAGCCTTCGCCATTTCTCTCTAGGGCATCATTTAGTACGTTGGCTAAGATTGAGAGGACGTTTCGTTTGGGACGTACACCGGTATTTACGTTTTGTTATAGAGAAAAAATAAAAATAACACATACTACTCGCCACCACCCTCAGTCAAGGCACCACTACCTCTTACCGTAGACCTACAGTACCCCTTGATTACAAAGACAGTGTTGAAGTCCACAATTATCAGAATTAACTCGGAATTTTCGTATGAACTACGCAACTGGTATAGCATCTAACCATCCTGGCCCCATCACTATTGCATTATTAGCAAAAAATTTGTCCAGGACCACTACCGTATACCTACCGTCCCCTGTGCTAATTATTAATACCTATCCCTCACCTGTGCTTGTATTGATTGTGTCTCTGAGTTCAGCATATCTCCAGTTCGACAAGTCATATGAGCCTTTTGGTTTCATGGAATCTGATGACGATCCAGATGACCTACAACAAATCATTCAGTCATATTTGTAATCATTACAGGAATTCGCTTACATGCTCGTGGTGGGCGTGTCCATCATCGCTCCTCCTCCATCGCGCGACAAGCGGCTAGCTATGGCAGCATCAAGACGTTCTCGTTCGGCTGCAGCCATTCTGAAGGGAATAAAATTAGCTCAGGATAGGATAGATAGACAGACACATATTTGGACAATTTGGGAACTTGGGTTTCCTGTGCGGAAAATGAACGGGAGATTTTACTTGAACCACTGCTCAAGCGAAAGCTTGAATGATTCAACCGCGGGCAAGAAAAACGGCTCAAAAGTCATGCCCAGAACGTATCTTGAGCAGTAAGTTGATAGAAAGTACGGTCTGGTCTGGAGTTCAAAATCAAATTTCTCAGCTTTGAATGTTTTCTACGAGCTGCCACTTGGGCAATGACGCAACTAAAGCCCTCAATCAGTTCCCACATAAGAAAACCAACTATGGAGATTTGCCTGGACACAACCTTGTACGAATTCTCACGCTTACCTCTTCTCTTCTTCAGCACGTAAAGCTTCAGTAATATGCGCTTCAGCGGCCATATTCTCATTAAAAAGTCGCTCTTCCTTGTTTCGTTCTTGAGCAAGTTGTTTGCGTCTAGAAAGTAGTTAGCATAATTGGATCCAAGCAAATTTGTTTCACCGAATGCGCATACTCCACCCACACACTTGAGCGTCGGTGGTTTAGTTTTTGAAACGGTAATTTTACTTCTGTTACGTCAGAAGGATAAAGTCAAGCTTCACTGGCGAGTGGTATCAATAAAACCGAGTACATTTGATATAATGTATTCTTGCGACGACGACAATATTTTCGCGTAGATAAAACAATGTGTGCTCTATAGAATTTTTTACGCCCAAGTTGTAGGCATTTACGCAAGTGCAAGTATGACGTTTATATTCGCGCAAATGTTGTCGTCATCGCAGTTGCACTAAACAGTCAGATTTACTAGATTACACATCGCATGATTGACCATGTTTAGGACTTTGATTTGGCGTAATTATTCAAAGGATGACTGGATGATAGAAAGGATGAATGGAGGGAGGACTAAACAAGAGTGTAGATAATTATAGCTAGAAAGCAATTTTTTTCAACTGATGAAAAAGAAAATATCAAAATGTGTCTAAACCCTATAATCTCGTTGCGATTATGTTGAAAAATGGGGAGGGAGGGGAGGGGGGGGGGGGGCAGGAATCATTATTATTTTTATTTTCACATATCGCATTTGAGTAAAGAAAGTCAGGACAGAATTATTATTGTTTTATAACACATTGAGATGAAATGGAAGGGTATCATTCTCATTACTTTACACTCAAAGTGCGTAAACAATAAAGTAATGAAAATAAGAATCTGATTATAATAATACAGTTAAAAAAATAAAAAAGTTAAATGGTCTTATGACAACTGTTTTGCAAAAAAAGTGATGTCAGCAATTTATTACAGATGCAGTGGAGAATTTCCCACAACTTTTTTCCAAATTAATTAAAAATTGCGAGAATCATGCAATTTTACCAAGGGAAATTTCCCACCATAGAAAAAGAAATACCAATCACTACATGAAAAGAAAAACTTTGCAATTTTACCCAGGAAAATCTCTCTCGAATAAAAATTTCCGGGCACTGCAAGAACACCTCATAAGCGAAAGAGAAACTGCCCAAATGGAGCCATAAGCTTTTCTGCAAGCTATAAATCACATTAGTTTTCTAATAAAGCCGCGTTACCGTAACCTGTCGTCGCAGGATAAGCCGAAACGGCTTTGACAGGCGCCTGGCGAAATAGGCGGAAAGTCGGGAAAAAACCAAAGTGGTGACGTGTTCATACGTGTGACTATGTAATTATGTCGGAGCTCATTTTGCTCGTGTGGGAAGGAAAAATAATGGGCAGGACAGACGCTGGAATTATTTTATTTCCTCGAATTTTCGAGGGGAGAAGAGAAGAATTTCAGCATAACTTCCTTGTCAAATTTTTTGTCCCCTTTCCGACTTTTTTCTCATTTCTGTTAGAAATTTTTAAGCGCGAATTCAAGATAATTTATAAATTTGCAACATTTTTCAAATGCTTTTCCTCAAGCCAAAAATCAAAAAAACTCCAATTTTCCTGCTAAATCACATTCCATTCCAAATTAGCTTCTCTAGTTTGTCTCTACCCCGGACAACTAATCCCTGAATGACGTGTGAGAAGCCCCGGACAGTAGATAATGAACCCATTTCCTGAGGGATTTGAACCCCGTCGGGGAGAACATTGAGTACAAAAACTGGCGGCATAGAAAATGCGGACGTCAGAATTTTGATATGACTCAGGATATCGATTTTTATGGAAAACCTAAGTAACGAGCTCGTGCAAAAGAACTCGTCCATTTCGCCATCCGCAGCATTTGAACTCAATTCAAAGATTTAAAAATTCAAAAAATTTGTATCAAAAACTACAAATATCAAAGTTCAAACAAAAAGTTTGGATTAATCTTTCCTTAACATTCTGCAAGGCTTAAAAAGAATTTAATCTGGTGCAGGAACCAAAATCCTCAGTTTTTTGAAGAAGCCAAAAAATAGGTAAAGAAAGAAGATGAGAAGAAGAAAGAAAATAGGTGCCAGAAATTACAATGTACTCATATGTACTAACAAGGGGAAAGAATGCTCATTGGACTGAAGACTTAGGAGGCGGAGCGAGCGCGTTTCTAACCAATCAGCTTTTTATTCCTGGGGGATGAAAAGCATAACCCGCAAGTGTATTAGTTTAGAAGATTGCATGTTCAGATATCATAAGTGTTTTGCTACATGAAAATTGAGGAACACAGGAATAAAAATCATTCGTTCCTAGTTGGAAAATACAGTAATCTATTCCAAATATCCTAATTCTACTGTTCAAAAACTCTTTTAGGATTTCTTTCTTCTAAAAGCTAGCAATAACGAAACCCACAAAGCCCAAGAAATTCATCACCACACAGCAACTGCCTAGCGACTTCATTGGAAAACCATTTGGTGCAAATATATGACTTCAAAGAACGCACACATGCGCTACGGATGTGCAATTCGAGTCAGAAATTCTCATCATCGGGAAAAGTTTTTGGATTTCCAATTATAATTTCTCAAGTTTCGAGAAAGAAGTAAAATTCACACCCACTCGCATTTCTAAGGAACCCCGCAATTTTGCTTGAATCATAGGTTGCCAAATAATGGAAGTGACATCACTTTTTGGATAGCTTGGAACCCGGCAATTTGTAACTTTTGAAACTTGGGTATATGAAAAAAAAACCGACTTACGTCATTCTTTAGAGAGCTACAATCGTTTGACATATTTTGTCGATATGACGCAAACCAACAGAAAAAAATCTGTGAAAAATTTGTTTGACTATATTTCTTTTTTTCGAATTTGTAAGAGAATTGAACTTCAAAAGAGAAAATTTGGGTGCAAACAAAAAGATTGGGAAAAATGGGATAACCATAGTGCCTCTCGTAAAATGACATAAAGCTTTTGCGAAAAGCCAATGTCCCAGTGTTCTAGGTTACCATTGACTTTATTGCAAGTCGTTTTATGAAAGAAAGTACAAAAAAGTAATGACTGCTTCAAGCAAAAGAAAATGGTGGGTGGGCTATGAAACCGACGGCCGTCATTAAAATGTAAAAACGTTTGTTGACAGCTGGGTCCACAAGGGCAAACCGAAAGCCAAAAAGGCAAACCTACCCTTCCCCTACTTCCTTAAATTTAAAGTTTATACAAATTTTTCAGAAATTCATTTCTCCAATTTCGAGCCTCAAATTCATATTAGCGTTCTGTTCAAAAATGTAATTATTCCACCAATGTTAAACAAAGATTATGTTGCACTTTTTTTGCAGTATAGAAAGTGCAAAAGCGATGGGTAAAAGCAGATGCAGAAGGCAGGCTTGGATTTAGCTTGTGGACTATTTAAAGAAGGGAAAGGGGGGAGGGGGAGAGGTAAAAGAGAGAACAAAAAAATCCTCTGGGGATTCTGCTCGATCCAGTCCCCATATTACAATAGTTTTTTGCATAGAAACGTTTGGTTCTACAGTTTTGAATGTTAAAAAAGAAATATGAAACAAAATGACATCAAAATGACAATAAAAATAAAATTAAAGGTAATTTTTTCTTCTATCAAAGAAAATCTACTTCATGTAAGGGAGCAATATAGAAATACACAGAATAGGACGTATTTTTACTCTCATAATCTATATCTATATATATATATATAAAACTCAAAAATTTTCAGTTTGGAGGGTATGTGCGTTATAGAAACGCGCGCCGCTCAACCAATTCGTCTGAAACTTTGCACACTTACGTTTTCGACCCCTGCGCAAATGATAGGCTACTTTTCGCAACGATTCAAGGTGTCCTTCTATCGATTTATTGATTTGTTTACGTTTTTTTAAGGAATTGAAAGCTTATCATGTTTAATCGAGCATTTTCCCATTTCATGTAAAGGAGGGCGGTGAAGCTCATTTTTACCTCGGGATCGCGAGGATGCGGTATCGAAGCGGATGTCCCGGGGTAAGTCATCCTTAACATATAAGAGGGGGGGAGAGGGGGAGCTCGCAGTGCAGACGAAAATGGCCCGGGCTGGACCGGGAAAGCCAACTAGTATATATATAAAACTCAAAATTGTGAGTTTGGAGGCTATGTGCGTTATAGAAACGCGCGCCGCTCGACCGATTCAGCTGAAACTTTGCACACTCACGTTTTCGACCCCTGCGCGGATGATAGGCTACTTTTTGCGGCGATTCGTTGGATCCTTCCATCGATTTATTGATTTGTTTACGTTTTTTTAAGGAATGGAAGGCTTATCATGTTTGACCAAGCATTTTCTCATTGTATGTAAAGGAGAGCGGTGAAGTTCATTTCTACCTCAGGATCACGAAGATGCAGTGAACCGAAATGGGCGCCGCAAGGTAGGTCATTCGTATGAGAAAAACGGGGGGGGGGGGGGTTGCAGTGCGGTAGTTTTGCTGGCAACCGCACCAGCTACCTCATCTGTGAAAAATACCCCGGGCTGGACCGGGGAAGATAACTATTTATCTTTATAGTCTACTAGCTGGCTTACCCGGCTCCGCCGTATGTTCCGAACAGAAAATTCCATTTCTTAACCGATCCAAACCAAACTTGGCACACATACACTTCGGGCCCCGGCGGGTGTCACAGTCCACTTTTCGTTATCGATTGATGTCGATTTTATCGATTTTTTGCAAAATTTGAGCTAGGGGGCTGGGATTTGGCACAGGGGGGTAATCGAGCATGCTGATTACGAATACAATATTAGTCTTCGAAACCGTGCATTACTTTTATCGATTTTATCGATTTTTTGCAAAGTTTGAGCTAAGGGGCTGGGATTTGGCACAGGGGGGTAATCGAGCATGCTGATCACCCCCACGATTTTAAAACTAATATTGTATTCAGAATCCCCATGCTCACTTACCCTCCTGTGCCAACTCCCAGCCCCGTAGCTCAAATTTTGCAAAAAATCGATAAAATCGATATCGATCGATACGAAAAGTAGCCTATGACACCCGCCGGGGCCCGAAGTGTATGTGTGCCAAGTTTGGTCCCGATCGGTTCAGAAATGGAATTTTCTATTCGGAACATACGTACACACAGACAGACAGACATGCAGACAGACAGACATACATACAAACAGACATTCAGCTTTATATATAAGATTTTATTCCGACCGGATAGATATGTTAATACTAGAATTGCAAAGATTATGTGTTAAAAAAATTCTTTCCGAATTTTTTGTACGAATCGTTCAGAAAAATTGAAGAAAAGCAAGTAGAGGAGATAACCCCCCCCCCTCCCTCCCTCAACTGTTAGTTATAGAACCTTTTTCAGTTTTAAAATTTTGCCTCAAACGATGAGAAGGTGACGCTTTGCTTCACACTGTCCTACAGTCATGGCGCGTACCTTGATTTGAGAGCAATAAAAAGTCTCCCCCCCCCCCCCTTCCAAGGTTCGAAAGGTACAGCTGTACTGCACAAAAGCCTTATGGATAAAGTCTCCGTCTGTTACCCGCCCATTTCTCCCTTTCCCCATCCGCATGTTCCTCGCCCCAATCGCTCCACCTCCTATACACATCGGGCATTCATTGCATCCGGCATGTCGATCGATGAAGGAGATGTGGTGACGAGGGAAGAAAACAAAAAAAAATTCCGGATAAAGTAAGCTAAGTTTGGAGTCCGGAGAGAGTTGTCATCTATCTCCTGACTTCGATTGCCCTTTTTCAAAAATAAAAACAAGGAAAGCGACGCGCGAATGCGTCACGGAAGGACAGGCGACATTTCGTTGAAACTCGATTGCCCTTTATAAAAATTCGTGACATGCTCGGAAATTCCGAAAAACTGAAACTCGCCGATATAATCAATTTTGCACGAACTCCGGAAACATACGATGAAATAAGGAACACACTATGAAGTTTTGGCCCATTAAAGACAGTAGGAAATTCTGCCTGGGCCTTTTATACCCATATTGATTATTGGCCATACGTAACTGCTCAAGCGCCAGCTTGCATATCATTAGTGCCCGGAAAAACCAACTTCAAACTCCAGTCCAGACCGTACTTTTTCCGCGTGCGCGGACCAATCAGCGTCCTCGATTCCGGTAAAAAGTACGGTCAGTGCGAGAGTTAAAAGCTGGATATCTCGACCGCCAACAACTTCTATGAAATGTAATTTGGACACTGTCTTAGTCAAAACTTCTCCAATAGTTTTACAAGAAATTGTAGTCTGATTATCTGGACATTGTTCATAAGATTGGAGATTGAGAAACAGGAAAATGGCAAGAAAATTAGCATTTCCAGGTTTCACTGGAAGTAACAGTCGTTTAGAATACTTCAAATTTAGCAAATCAATTTGAAACATTGTCCGACAAAAAAACTGTGGTTCATAGTAACAATCTCACGCAATACTATCGTAATAATTTTATATTTCTTAACATGCAGAATTTGACATTTAAGCTTCCCAGTTCCAACTGAGGACATTCGCTATGCCATTTGCCCACACCGGAATGCCATGCAATTTCCCTGCGGCTTTACCATCAATACCAAGAAAAAAAAGCTGACTGAAGGCGAAGAGATGTTCTCGCTTTCTCTCTAAGCCATTCTAGAACAAAGAAAAGCTTTTGCAGCTCTGCAAAAGTTGAGCAAAAAACTTGTACAATGAAAGCAAGAAATCTCTTTCCTTACTAATACTAATAAGGTAAGTTTGCTTCAAAATGTCAACTCATAATTGCAAAATGCTCGGTGATGATCTCACGTTTTGAAAAAAAAAAATATCATCTTGTATGCAACCATTGCGTCAGTATTACCCCGACACCATTTCACCATGAATTCTTCATTATTCTATTTGTTTTTATGTAAAATGTGAACTTCACGTGCACGGCGCTTTGCAGAACTATAAAAAAAAACTCCTAACGGGTAGATTCTCTAAAATTAGATTTTCAGAATGCGCTATTCGAAAATATCCTTTAATGAGTAGTTCGACTAATTAGGTTACTAGAATTTCAGATAAAAGATGAAATGAGTCATTTTAAGAAAAAATTCAATTGCAAGGTGGCACTTTACTAGTTCACGTAAGATACCGTACCACAATTCTTGGTGTATGACTGTTTGAAAAACATTAAGTGGACAAGTTGAGAATTTTTCATCATGATGGCCCCTTACTATTCTTGGACTAGCAGCCAAAAAAATCAAAGGCATTCCCCCTCCCTCCCACTTGCTCCTGCCTCACTGCGAGGTCCCGCACAGAAATGCAATCACGTCTCACAGTACCATTTTGTACTTGTGCAAAAAAGCCGCATTTCTGTTTTTATATCTCAGATCCTTGGAAATCCACAAATCTTACAAAGATGAGACTTAATGGACTATATCATCCTCTGAAAACATTTTTTTTCGTTCTTCACATTGAAAGCGCGCCTGAAAATGTGACGTTCACCGTTACACCTTTAGTAGCCTACTGTAGTGGTGCAAAAAGTCCATTTCTTATTGCCCGGCATGAGAATTGTTCTCGTTCGACGAAGTCGTCTTACTGAGAAAAAAGCCACCGAGTTTACTGTGACCTCCAGAAGAAAGCTGATCACTTTCCGCTGAGAAATTCTCAACCCCCACCCCCTCCCTGCTTGTACCATCAAAATATCCTATTCCATGCAATCAGCATATATAAGTAAACAACCATCTAAATTATGTCTTGCAAAACCTCGAAGTTTACAATTCTTATGGATGATTTTGAGCAAAAAAAATAGTCCTGTAAAACTAAAAACACTCGTCCTGAAAGCTGACATACAAAAATATAAACTCTAAAAGAACACTTGGGCAATTGCCTCAGCAGCACGCAACGCAATTGACAGCTCGTATATCCTTCTGAAGACAATTTACACGTCATGGGCTACAAAGTACGGAACTGCAACATCCATATCCCCTGAGGGCAAAATATCCGGGGCGCCATGGAATGCATGCGGGGGATATCCAGCAGCAGAAGAACTAAGGATTATATATCTCATTACGAAGTAAAGCGACGGGGGCTATTACGTGTACGCTATCCACAGCGTATGGGGGCTGATTAGTGTCGTCCCGTAGGGGGATCGAGAAAACTTTGGGGAAACATGGTAGGGTGATGGCCCTGATGGCCGTGACGGAATAAAAAGGGCGAGGAGGGGAGAGAATGCGAAATCTAATTTGTATGGGGTTGATAGCGGAAACGACGGCAAATAAGATGGATTTGGTATAGGACAAGGTTGGAGAAAGACTGCCAGAAGGGGTTTGGAGCTTTTTGAAAAAATCAAAAATGAGACTTTCAACTTGAAAATAAAGCTAAGAGAGCAGGACAAATCGCTTAGCCTATGGCAGGTGTAAAGTGCGCCAATAGGCTTGATTAAGCACGCTCCACTCCTCTCAAAACAAAATGACATCATTCCTCTAGGATTCGCTAATCAACTCCTCTCTCTTCTATGTATCGAATAAAGTACAAAAAGAGCTTTTAAAACAAATGTCATCGCCCGCAAAAGTGCGTGAGTGTTGTTCATTAATGAAACATACTGAAGTCGTTCTTGCTCGAGACGCTCTTCTTCGGCACGCTTTCTAGCCATTTCGGCTTCTTCATCTCGTCGTTTCTTCTCAAGTTCCAACAGTTTTTGTTGTTCTTCGACGGCTAATTGCTTTCTGAAGCCGATAGAATTAAGAATGATGGGTCACATGTCCAAAATTGCCCAAGACATTCGATACTGTTGACGTCCTTACTTTAGCTGCGATATCGTCATGTCCACACGTTGTACACATTGTTCATAGCAGTGCATAGCACGGTCAAGAGCAAAGTCAACATCGCTTCCCTGGAAAACAGTGTTATTTAGCTTTTACACAATAGGGATTTCAAGATTGCGTCCACAGTTGTCGGGTCAGCGCGGTTCCAACGCCGTGCCGGCGCGGATCCATTGCTGTGCCGACGCCGTTCCAGCGTCGTGCGCGCATTATGCTAGCGCCATGCTGAAGCTCAGCTTGACGCTCTATATGGATCGATCCTCGATGGCACAAATTCGGCAAGGCGCTGACGTAGCGGTGGCAGATTGCGCCGGCACTACGCTGGCACGGCGCTGACACGAACAACGCTGAAGGCAGTCTAAAAATGTAAAAAACTTACCCTTATGCTTTGTACCAAATTTTCCAGACTCTTTGTGGTGTCTTGTACTGGCTCCACCCATTTTTCACGACTATTCGGTTGTAACTGATTGATCACTGACATCATTTCTCGTGAACGGCCCAGTAGGCTCAGTGATTTTCGGTAAAGCTCGAGTCTGCAAAACATTTTTAGTAAAATTTGTTGAAGAGGACAAAAGAGAGAAGAGTGGATAATAGGAACAAAACCACTTTAGAAGTGTTAGGCGAAGGAGGTCCAAAGAATGAAAATATGAAGAATTATGTGAAGATGATAGAAAAAAGTAATGAACTGAATATAGATTGACTACAAACAACCTGCTCAATTCACGTGAAAGGCATCTCCTGACAAAAAATTTTTTTTTGAAAATGTGTGGTAGTAAAAGCAAATGAGTCTTGCTCTAATGATTCATTCTCTTGACTAGCTTTCACTTTCTTGCACAGAATTTCAAACAAATGATTATAAAATTTGTAGAACTTATTACTCTAATGATCTGGAAAAACTAATTTGTTTACGTAAACAACCACATCGTCATGGCTCCCAGTATAAGCTTGAGCCGTTCGACAAACAACTTGAGGAGAAATTTGCATATTGAGTTCCAGATGTTTTCTTAAAATAGCCTAAGTAGTAGTATACTTCTACAAAGGTATTGCTTTCGATTTGACTGAATCTTTCAAATTTGAAGTAAAAGGATATAGAGAAGGAGAGGGCTGAACGTAGAACAAATGAACTTTTGAAAAAGAAAATCTATTTTCGCGTGAAAGCTTTCAATGACTGGAAGGTTTCGGATGATATAGATAAGATATCATTCAAAAAAATTACAATTTGCGACTATGGACGTCACCAGAGCAGCAACTACACAATCTCAAGGAAACTTTATCCACCTTAAAGTCACGATGAAATCAACAATGTTTTTTTCTTCAATGAGGATCAGGTTTCCTTGCCTCATATTACTCTGTAAACAGGCATAAAGTTTTTACATGAATTTCTGCAAACGAGGCTCAGTTAGCTTCTACAAATTCGAAATGAAAAAAAAAACGGTAACATTCCTTGAAAAAAATGATTGAAGTGAAACATGGCGAATTTTATGTCACAGGATAGATACATTTTCTATTGTAGCCATCAATGAAGGAATTTTCCAGAAATGCTCAACGCATTTTTCAGATCACCATGATACGACTTTGAATTTGATAGAATATCTAATGCTGACTTGCATCTACAATTCAAACTGTCACCTTGGAAAGTTGGAAAGTAAGTTTTGCGTCAAAAGTATTACTGATAAGTACAGAAGCCAAAAAGTTAGCTTCAGCAGACGTTCAGAAAATTTGAAGCACCGGAACCTTGCCACTTCTTACATTTCAAAGAACAAAGGAACACAAGAACAAAAGCAGTAGAAAATTCTGTACTTTCCGGGAGGATGAGCACAATAGAACATGCACCAGTTGCTGAGCACGGACAACACACACAAATCGCGTGTCCATTTCCCATTTACAACCCACGTCACTAAGTGCTATTGTGAGAAAACAATCATGAAAACAACATTTTTTTCTAAGAAGCCATGACATGCACATCGCGAATAGGTAGCATAGCATTTTAAAAATATCAAGGGTTTAGGTGCTCATGAAATCACTACAGCTGGACTGACCTAACGAAGTAGGGAAAATTTTCCACACAATTGTAAAATTTTCAGGGCAAAATTCTGAACAAAATGAATCAGAACTCATCGAACGATCATGAGCGAGCAGAGACGTCAAACTCCACAAAATTTAATCAGTACACATTCCTATTTTCTTGAACCAAAATTTGTTCCATTTGCCATCTGATTTAACGTCCACGAGATCCCAAATCATTTCTTTTTGTATTGTGCTATTATATCTTTGTATCTGTACTAGCCTTCAGAGCTCGGTACAGATGGCTTGTAAGCAAGCTGGATATCGTTTTTGGGACAAAAAGCAAAGATGGTATCGTTTTTAAGGCCGAAAAGACACAAAAAATTGTGAAGTATTTTCTCCTCTAGTTGACGTTTCGTTTTTTGAGTTTTTTTTACGTTTAGGAACTTCGCAAAAATTCGCAAAAGTCATGGGGCACTTCGTTTTTTTGCTTTTCCAAAAGCCACCCCGTGCCGAGCCCTGTTAGACTTGGCTCAATTCTCACACTAAATCCCCCAAAAGCAACCTCAGCTTTTCAATAAGTTTTTGGCTTTTCCAAAAGCCACCTCGTTCCAAGCCCTGTTTAGCTTTGGCTCAATTTTCATACTAAATCCAACAAACAAAAATAAACGGCATGCGGAGATCAGCTTTTCAATTCTTCTTCTTCTTTTTAGAGTTAAGAAGCTTTGCTTGCAGATTAGCTGACATCATTTGATATGGAGAAATCGGGGAAAAGAATTCTCAGGTGCTGATAGAAGATTAGACTGCTAATCAAAAAGACAGAAACTTGTTATTTCGAAGGATAGATATTCCCTTCTGCAACCAATCTAATCTGTTCAATGACAAATGATTTATGATTGTTTTTGAATGAACATTTCAAGTACTGATGGAAGTTGTAGCTGATTTGCTTTTTGAAAGCTAATTTCTGATTTATCTTAGATTTAAACGTTTTTTAGTGATGTCTGGATAACCAAGAAATTTTGGCGATATAGAACTTGTTACATTTGATAGAATGCATTGAATTCTTGAAATTTCAAAAAAAAAATGGAAAAAAGGTTGCTGTCATTTCGATGACGTCTTGGAGAAAAGGCTTATTTTAACGAAACATCACATAAAAAGCAGAATATTTTCTTGCCAAAAAAGCGAGGAATGAAGAACTAAAGTCTGTGAACTAATAGAGTAGAAAACCATACACAGACAGGATCCTTTGATATTTCTGAACCCACTCTCATTAGTAACAAAAAAAGGTGATGTTTATGGCATTAGCATTGTATTCTAACAAAGCAGCAGAAGAATGAAGCCATAACAAACGCCTGCTTGTATTCTAAATGGCAAATCGACTGTGATGTTTGTTTCAAAAACTGTTATTCAAAAGCATTATATGCTTCGCCTGCAAATTGCAAATTTGCAGTTCTTGATGTTTTTTTACAAAAAAAAATCATCAAGAATCACAGTAGAGAAAAATGATCAACAAATCTACGCAAAAGAATCTAGTTTATGATTCTGTTATTCAGCAACAATAAAAACTTTTAGCATAAAATATACATTAACGAAAAGCTGTGACGTAGACCACTCATCGCATGTGACGCAGACCATAGAGAGCTGGTAGTTAATGGGGAACGACGAGCAGACAAAAAGGGGATGAGAAAATTAAAGCTGCGTGGAAAGAGGGGTAATAATGTTTGTGATGGGAATTGCGTCTGTTCTGTAAAATTGAATTCGAGCAGAGCAAAATCCAGTCCTCCAAAACTTTCTTCTAAATCTTCGATTTGTTTTGGACGTTGTAAGATGAGGATTTTTGATCGTATAAGGCTGGAACTAAGTTTTGCATCAAAATTCCAGAAAATCTCTTTTAGAATACTCGGAAAATCTTTTTCGTAGTCTTTTCACTGTATAAAGCACAAGTGGTAATTTTTACTATATATGAAAAGACTTTTTTGACAAAATCAAAATTGAGAATCGAAAATTCCAGCTTTTTATGAAATATCCGATTGTTGAAGAGTAGATCAAACCCAGAATAAAATAGCAATAGAGACTGTTGGATTTTCTATGCTTTTTTAGCTATTAACAATTAAAAAGTTCTTGGTTCTACCGGCTCTTGTTGACGTGATATGAAGAAATAAGTGTTTCAAAAATAAGTTTTTCTTTTGGCACATCAGAAAAACCCACAGTTTGCTCTCTAGGTGTTTTATAAGTTTAAGAGCATTACGGTAAGATTTTACGATTTTTTTATCTATTTAGATTAGCAGCAAAATCAAGCAATACGTTAAAAATTCGCGAAAAAAGCCATACATCGAGTAAACGCATGGCGCATTCTAAAAAAACCAACATACTGCTTTTGCACAGCTTTCACACAATAACATTAGTCACACACAAACAACAATCGTCGTTTTATCCGTCTCTGTGGGACTCATTAGCTCGTAGATTACTTGGACAAATGTCAGTATCATTAACAAACGATTATAGCAGTATAAATCAAAAGTAACGACTTGTACATACAACTTTGTGCAGTTTTTTACATATCATTAGCCTGACTTGGAATAGAAACTACCGTATACCACAACCAACATATACGGTAATTGCTTTATATGTTTAGCCAGCTATTAATCATCTAGCTTAGCAGCCGGGAAACAGTCAGCAAGTAGACATGAGCAGAAATAGCAGGACGACGGAAGAAGAGAGGAAAAAAGACAAATTACAAATTAGCTAAAGTTAAAAGTCAGTTCTAAGTTAGCTAGAGTTAAGAGTTTAGAACATGTGACGCAAAACTCAAACAATTTCATTCGAATGCATCATTCGTTGACGTTAACTATGAACAATCTCGGGTACAATTTTCATCCACAGAACTCAAAAACTCAATTTAGAGGAAGATTTTTTGTTGCGCTTGATGACTCAAATAGTGAAAAATCTGTATCATCACCAGCTGTTGCGCATGATGATTCAAATAGCAAAAAAATCTGTATCACCTGCGTATACTGCTTTACTAAAATCAAAAATCTAACAAAAACCATGGACGATTTGAATAGGAAGCGCTTTTAAGCCTATATCCATGCAAAAATTTCTTATGCAGCACTTCGTAATAAACTCCACTAGATATTCTGCAGAACCCGTGTCGAATATTTTTTATTTACGACTTTAATATGTCCTTTTGCTGAGATAGCTCCATAAAATGCTTGCATAGCAGAATGAGCAAATATGGCGAGATTGTGACACTCGAAATAATCTTGCAATTCTGGAAAGAAGGTAATTTTAATTGCATCCGGATCAAAATATCACGTAGTTCTCCTCTGCAAATATTTAAGATTTTCAAGGAGATAATCACTACCAGACTTCATAGAAGCTCTAAAGAAAGAAGCTACCTAACTTGTTCGTGCTTTTACAACAAGACACATATATTTGGAATCAGCTTCGAACACTGATGCCAAATATGCTGTTCCCAGCTGCCGCGCATCATTCGCAACGGAGTTATGAGGCCTGCTTCCCTATGACT